CTAATCCCAACGGGCCTCTCAATCAGGTGAGCTTGGCTACTAAGGGCAACCATCAGATTATCCCATCAAGTCAGGAAGCTCTTTATTTTTCCATCCATCCCTTGACTTTCCACCCACACACACCCAGGTCACTGTGATATGAAAAACTCCTCATACTCTTTTCCTTCAAAGCCCTCTATGGTGACTTCACTTCAGAAAAAAAATCCTTTAAGACTTTTCATTATTTAATTTTTTAATAGTTGATCATTTGTTTTCATTTTTATAATTTACTAAATTTGTTAATGTGTTTTACTCATTTTTATAAAAGGCTTATTTACATTCTTTTAAAAGCTCTGTCGTGTGTGTGTGTGGTCAGTCTTGCCATTTACCTTTGCACCTGTAAGGGCAAGTGTAATTCTGGAGAGGGGCCAGCAAGATGGCTCACCAGCAAAAGCATGTGCCATGCAGCCTAGCATTCTGAGTTTGCTCCCTGGAATCCACATGGTAAAAAGAAAAAGAGCTCCCTCTGGTCTCTGCATGCATACATGCACTCACCTATGAACACACACACTTGATAAGTGAAGAATAAATGGTGAATCGTAGTGTTTAATTTGGTTCTTCCCATGTCCGCACTATGTTGCCTTTCTTTCCTTGTAACCATACGTTATTCTAGATGCAACAGAAGAAGCCACATTCATCAAGTCAGAGGAGGTCAAACCCGGGAGCAGTGTGGCAGCAGGAGCATAGTAAGTGTCTCGGGTACAGTGAAACCTGGGAGCACAGTGAGTTTCTCCTGGGTACAGTGAAAGAGCACCTGTCGTAGTTAGTGTCTCTCCTTGGTCAGTCTTCTAAATTTCCTTTTCAGGTTTTTCATTGAGCGACAGGCTTTAAATAATTTAATTTTCATTATTAAATATAACCAGTATAGAGGAAAGGAGGTAGGTCTTGTCATCAAATGACTATAAAGTCATCATGTACCCATCACCCTGACCCCATCATGTTCATCAGATAATGTGGTGACTAGTTTTATGTCATCTTGACACAAGCTAATCATCGGAAAGGAGGGAACCTCAAGTGAGAAAAAGGCCCCATAAGATCCAGCTGTAGGACATGTTCTTAATTAGTGATTGGTGGAAGAAGGCCCAACCCACTGTGGGCGGTACCATCCCTTGGCTGGTGGTTCTGGGTTCTGTAAGAAAGCAGGCAGAGCAAGCCATGGAGAGCAAGCCAGTAAGTAGCACCCGTCCATGACATCTGCATCAGCTCCTGCCCTGGCTGCCTCCAATTATGGACTAGGATGCAGAAGTGTAAGCAAAACGAACTTTCCTCCCAACTTGCTTTTGGTCATGGTGTTTCATCATGTAATCAGACACCAAAAAATGAAAAAGTACCTTGTGGACTGGAGGCGTTAATCATGTTCAGATGTCAGTGCACCCAGGTGCTCAGGAGGCTAATGTATTCCCTATTCACATGTCAGCAGCACTTCTTAGAGACAGAAAACAAAATCCATCCTGAAATACACTCTTAAAGGGTTCCACATAACCAAAATAATCATCTTAAAAAAGCAAAAAGATGGACTCACTTTTTGGTTTCAAATTTTATTATAATGTTCCAGCAATCAAAACAGTGGCATTGGCATGAAGACACAAGACAAAAAGAGGCTGAGGCTTAGAAACAGCCCTGCCATGCATGGTGGGATGGTTTCCCACCAAGGGGCAATGAGGAAAGCTAGATACCTACATGAGATGGATGGAAAGCCAGACTCTTACATCACACACAAAGATTAATTCAAAATGGATCAAAGAGTAAAACTAAGAGCTAAAACTAAAATTCCCAAAAGCAAGCTATAATAGCTCCACTGGGTGGGGCAATACTTGTGTGGATATGACTACCAAAAACTCAACCAGAGTCAACAACCCACTATTAATGGGCCAAGGACCTAAGGAGATTTCTACAAGCATAATATATAAAGGCTAACAAACATTATAAAACATGTGACACCACTAATTAGGGAAATGCCAAACAGAACCACTGGTAGAGACTTCACAACCTTAGAAGGGCTACTAAACGGAACAGGAAATAAACTGACTGGAGTATAAACTAGTGTGGCTGCTATAGAAAGTATGGCAGTGCCTTGAAATAAAAACAATTACTCTACGACACAGACTGCTAGGTGTATGCTAAAACTGTGGGGTCCTAGTGAGGTTTGTATATACATGTTCACAGCAATAGTCAGGAGCTCAAGAGTGGAAACAACCGAGGTATCCACTGCTGAGGAAGGAGGTAACAGGATAGAGGACACACATACACTAGAATACTACTTAGCCTACAAAGGAAAGAAATACACAATACATCATGGCTAAACCTTGATGTATTTTGCTATATGAAATAAACCAGCCCCCATCCCATCCCTGAAAAAAACCCACATGCTAAGATTGCATCCAACCAGGCACTTATGGTACTCAAATCAGAAACAGGAAATAGAATGGAAATTACTATAGAGAGAGCTTGCCAAGGGAGGAAGGGATGACCTGACAGCGGCAGGGAGGTAACTCATGGGCTACTTGACATTTTGTGAGGTGGATGAAGAATTCTGCAGACTGACTGCAGTGTGAATGCTCAACACTACTAACCTATACACTTTAAGATGCAAAGTTTTGCTATTCATATTTAACTAAAAACTTCAAATATGGTGAGGCAGGGCGGTGGTGGCGCACGCCTTTAATCCCAGGACTCAGGAGGCAGAGGCAGGCGGATCTCTGTGAGTTCGAAGCCAGCCTGGTCTACAAGAGCTAGTTCCAGGACAGGCTCCAAAAGCTACAGAGAAACCCTGTCTGGGGGGGGGAGGGATATTTTAAAAGCAAAGCCAGGCGGTAGTGGTGCATACCTTTAATCCCAGCACTTGGTAGGCAGAGGCAGGTGAATCTTTGTGAGTTTGAGGCCAACCTGGTCTATAAGTTCCAGGACAGCTAGGGTTGTTACACAGAGAAATGCTGTCTAAAAAAATAAAACAAAAAAATTATTTTGAAAGCAAGCATGGGCTTATAGGCAAGTGGTAAAAATCTACAATTATTCAATGAAGACACAAGTAAGTTTCTGTAAGTTTGGGTTAGGATGGTTTCTTAGAGTACACTGGAAGAAAAAAAAAACTGTAATTTGCCCAAATTAAAACTGTTCTTCAGCCAAGCATGGTGGCTTGTGCCTGTAAACTCAGCATTTTGAGAAGTGAAGCAGTCAAACTGCTTGCTCTAGTTTCCAGGCCAGCCTGGGCTAAGACCCAGTTTCAAAAGCACATACAAATGCAAAGTATGCTTCAAAGAGTATCAAGAGGAAAAAACTGCAAGTTATCTTTAAAGAACTTGTATCCACAAAGAAAAACAAATCTTACAGGAAAATGAGAAAGTGCAACTGAAAACCAAACTGGAGACTGCAGATGCAACATACAGATGGCCAATGAACACATAAAACACGCTCAGGTTAGACTTCAGAGAGATGCAAATCAAGATCTCTCCAGACGCCTCTTCATACCAAGCAGAATGTCCGCCAGCAGCGTGAGCAGTGATGTGGATACTTGAACCTAGCTATGTTGAGAGTATGAAATGGTGGTGAAACCACTGTCGAAAATGATAGATGGAGGCTGCCATTCAACCCTGTAATTCCACTCTAAGGCAAGTATTAAATGAAACATGTAGAACCTTTTCACAGACGTTCACAGTAGAAACGGCTCAGAGCTCGGCAGCTGATCAATGGATAAAGAAGCATGGTGTCCGTCTACTACGGAATGCTATTTAGCAGCAGTGAATTACAGAGTGATGCTGCAAAAATAAACCTGTTAATAACTTGGTGGCAAGTCAGAAGAGACCACACTAAATATTCCACTAACAGATATGGACTAGACAGTCCACAGAAACCAATACATTACTGGCGGCTGAGGGCAGAACGGAAAGAGCAATGAGGACAGACTGCTAACGAGTGCAGAGAAGTGACAGAACTTCTGGATTAGAGTGGTGACTGCTACATGCTCTATGAATATACTAATAATCAAAGGTCCAATTTTGTGTCGAGAATTTCTCCAAATAAAGCTATCTCTAACAAAGAGGCTTTTTATACAAACATATTTCACAGTTTCTAATCAGAATTACTTTCAACTAAAGTTGAAACACTTGTGGGAGTGTAGCTCAGTGATAGAGCATTTGCCTAAGATGCAGAAGGCTTGATCCTCCACACTGCAGACACGCCAAGTTTGGTACACAGCAGCAGGACTAAAGGGTGCATCATTCCCCACTACCATGGAGCTCAGTGATTTTCTGGGGAATCCTCGCAGCTTCACACTTGGAGATCAGCAAGTCAACTATACAGTCCCTGACTGCTTTAGCCCCCATGAACTCTGCAGTGATGAAGAACTACAACTCCCACTGTTTAGTGCCAAATATCAAACTGGAAATTTCGCTTCCTGATGGGTTTCTGCTGCGTTAAGTGATCAAAATAAATTGCCAATATTCTAAACTTTGTCATCACATCATGACTTTGATATTTGCTATCTAGAGTGAACATCTGTTGTTGCCAGTGTTTAGGGATGAGGCCCATAACTCATCCAATGAGACTGTGAGTGGAGTAGGCACAGAACATGAGGCCGGGATCTAGCTAAGATCATAAAGGTTGGAGCAGGAGCATGACCCAGAAAAGAGCAGAGTGCTTCAGTGGGGTGTGATCTGTGGGCCACACTCTCCTTTTTGGGCCACACAGATCTTAAGGGTGTGGACATTGGCTGATAGTATTCCATTATGAGGAGAGGGCGTATTAAATTGAAACCAAGAAATAGGAGTTGGAAGAACCCTGACAACAGGCCCTATGTCACTAATTGTGTCACATGGCCTCCTGGATGCACACACATGTAATCTGATTGACGTCATCCTTGAACATAATCTCTCCATTAGGCAATTCCCAAAACACATTAAATTCTTAGCCCAAACTGTTCAATTAAACGTATCTTCTGTAAGTGACTTCATGAGACAGAATCATTCAGAAGCAGCATTTATCCATTTTTCTCTAGTGCTCTCTGGAGGGAGAACCTGGTCCAGATGTCAAGCAGATGCAGCAGATACTGTGTTTCCTTTTGGCTCTTTTCCGTTAAGGAGCAGAGAAAATCCAGGGTAATTTTCTAGCTTTTACCATAATGTTATCAATATCCTTTTCGTCCTCTGAATCTTGATCTGGTATCCAACTGAAAACAAGCATACATACAATCATATCTGGAATAATAATTTAATCAAACACAGTTCTGGTAAGAGATGTCTTATGAAAAAAGCAAACTAGCTTCCAGAAAAGTCAAAAACTTGACTGAGCATGTGGAATACCTACAGCCAGCATTCAGGTGGCCAAGGCAGAAAAACTGAGCACAAGGCTAGCTGGGGCTACCCAGTGAACCCTGTACTAACAAAAGAGAAAGTGCAAAGCCAGAAAGAAAAAATGAATGGCACAGTAAAAGAAAAGAAACCACAGTTCTTCCTAAGGGGTGACAAAGACTTGTTCCTGTAAAGTTGAAATTACATTTACCTTTTTGTTTTAAGTATACTCATGAATGTCCTACCAAGCCTTTGTAAATTCAAATGTAATTGAAAATTTTTAAATAACAACTGGAAACATTAATGACACAGGATCATGTTATTAAAAATCCTTGAGTCCTCCTAGGCTGACCCCAACTTCTTTAACTTCAGCCTCTCAATGGAGCCACTTCCTAAGGGTCACAGGTGGAGAAAAGGCTCTGAAGTCAATAACTGTTCAGAAATTTCATAGGAAGGAATTATTTTGGAGATAGACCCTATCGGTGAGCCCGATAATAGAACAGACAGCCACTTATTTGAACACAGCACGAAACAGCTGTGAGCCTTTCTGTAATATAGAAATTATACATTTTTATATACTATGCATTGAACTCAAGGCCTCACACAGGCTAGGCCAACACTCTACTACTGAGCTACATCTCCAGTCCTCTTTTTTATATACTCTTTGAGATAGGGTCTCACTAAGCTGTTCAGGCTGGCCTTGAACTCACTCCATAGCCCAAGAAGGCCTTAAACTTACTGTCCTCCTGCCTCAGTCTCTTGTAATAGCTGGTATCACCTGGCCTCACTAAAAGCCTATTTTTCAAAAGCAAACATGAGAAAAACATTGGGATGGTTCAAACAATCCATCTTGTCGACCCTGGAACTCATGCTCTGAAACAGAAGAGTTAGCCAGATTCTTAAATACATGTTCCTGGCTTCTCTCACTCAACAGCGAAGAGTGACTGGATTGTGTTCTGGAAGACACATAGTCACAGGCTTGGAGGAACAGTATGAGAATCACTGTCTGCTCCAGGGGTAGTACCTCTTACTGTTATCCAGCAAATCAGATATTTTAAATTCAAAATTATAGCAGGCACGGTGGTGCACACCTTTAACTCAGGCAAATCTCTTAGTTCAAGGTCAGCCTGGTCTACAAAGCAAGTTCCTGGACTGCAGGGCTGTTACACATAGAAACCCTGTCTCTCACAAAACAAAAGCAACAAACAAAAAGATTTGAAATGATTACATTTACTCAAAAGAGGCCATGCCTTTCAGAAATCCATAGGCTGCCCACAGACCTTCTCAGCTCTCTCTGTTGCCCCAGACCCAATCCCTCAGTCTCATCCCTAGTGCTGCAACAGAACACCAGCTGCAGCCCTCTCCCCCCACATCTGTGCATCGCACAGACCGTCCCTCCTCACTTGTCGCTGCATCCCAGCCTCCAACACCAGCAGAGCCTTCCCTGTGAATTCCAGTTGGGCACAGCAGTAAAACAGGCAACACAGCCACCACACTCTCCAAACATCCAGAGAGGAAACAATGCAAGAAACAAAGCCCCCCACCCAACAAAGACAAACCCAGAAATCAGCACCTAGACCTACAATCATGCAACAGTGGAAGAACACAATCAAAACAGTCAGGGCAGTATGTCTCCACTAGAGCCCAGCTATCCTACCTCAGCAGGTCCTAATAAATGTCCAGCATAGCTGAAGCACAAGGAAAAGACCTAAAAAACAACTATATGAAGATGACAGAGGTCCTTAAAGAGAAAATGAATAAACTCCTTAAAGAAATCCAGGAAAACACAAACAAACAATTGGAGGAAAGGAATAAATCCCTTAAAATCAAGAAAATACAAACAGTTGAAGACAATGAATAAAACTGCTCAATACCTGAAAATGGAAATATAAGCAATAGAAAACACAGACTGAGGCAAGTCTGGAAATGGAAAATTAGGAATCTGAACAGGCACTACAAGGGCAAGCTTCACCAACAGAATATAAGAGATGGAAGACAGCATTCTGGCATTGAAGCTACAATAGAAGAAATGAATACATTAGTCAAAGAAAATGCTAAATCTAAAAAATTCCTGACACAAATCATGCAGGAAATCTGGGCATTATGAAAAGACTAAACCTAAGAACAAAAGGATAGAGGAAGAAGAAGAAACCCAGCTCAAAGGCCCAGAAAAGATTTTCAACAAATCCATAGAAGAAAATTTTCCATGGAAACACACAAACAGCCCAGGCTGACGCCAAGAGAAAGGGTTGCTCTCCACAAACCGACAGCCACAGTGGGCCTAATTGCCAACGACTTTTAGGCAACTTGTTGAACATGGAGAAGTCAAACTGTGCCTACATGGAACCTTCACCCCTGTGTTCTAGTTTTTTTGGTACAGGAAGGTACTCTACAGACTACCAAAAGAGGAATGTGGACACCAACCCAGCCACAAAACCTTAACCTACAATCTGTCCTGCCGGCAAAATATGCTAGGGTAAGAGTGGCAGAGAATTTGTGGGAGTGGCCAACAGATGTCTGATTTGACTTAAGATTCATTCCACAGGAATGAGCCCATATAGTACACCGCTTGGGTAACCAAGTATCAGAGACTGATAGCCCAAAAACCTAGGGTAAAACCAGCCCAAAAACCTAGGGTAAAACCAAACAATAAACAGCTCCTAATGGTGTTCTGCTGCAATCATAATCAGTGCCTTATCCAGTCATCATCAGAGAGGCCTCCACTGGCAGCAGATGGGAACAGATGCAGGCCAGACATGATACGGAGAGTCTAAGTTGGAGGTGTCCATCAAATCCTTCCCCTCAAGTCCCAGGGAATCCAGCAGAAGAGGAGGAGGAAAGATTGTCAAAGTCAGAGGGGATGGAGGACATCAGAAGAACAAGGTCATCTGAATCAACTAGGCAAGGCACATATGCGCTCACAGAGACTGAGGCATGAAGCATAGGGCCTACATGGGTCTTATACCAGGTCCTCTGTGTATATATTATCGCTGTTGGCTTAGTATGTTTATGGTTCTCTGACTCTTGCTTGCTCTTTCTTTTCCTCCTGTTGGATTGCCATGTCTAACTTCAATATGGAAGTTTTTGCTTCATCTTATTATATTTTCTTTTGTCATGTTTGGTGTTATCTTTTAGAAACCTGTTCCTTTCTAATGAGGGACTGAAAGGAAATGGATCGGAAGAGGAGGGAAGGTAGGGAGGAACTGGGACAAGTGGAGGGAGGGGAAACTGTAATCAGCATACACTGTATGAGAAAAAACCCTCAGAAGACAAATAAACAATGAAAAAAATATTTTTAAAGAAGGATTAATTTATGCCCATAGGATATGCTGAAGAGGTGGGACAGGAGGATCACAAGTTTCAAGCCAGTCTGGGCTACCATTACTAGGTGTGGCAGCACACATTTTAAATCTCAGCACTCAGGAGGCAGAGGTAGATGGATCTCTATGAGTTCCAGCCCAGACAGAGCTACAAAGTGAGACCTTATCTCAGAGAGAGTGAGAGAGAGAGAGAGGGGGGCAGGGAACGGAAGGAAGGAAGGAAGGAAGGAAGGAAGGAAGGAAGATTGGGTGAGGAGTCTGCTCTGTACGATGGTACAGAGGAGCATCTCTTTTACTAATCACTGTGCCTTCCCAATGCCTGGAACAGACTTTCGAATTCCACACAAGCCTAGAGGCTTGCATTTCACACAGCTGACAACACTACTCAAGGAGGGAGGCAGGAAAACTACACAGGGAAGCTGCCATAAATGGCAGAAGAACAGTGAAGTGCTGCTACTTGAGAGAAGCACCATGGCCAAGTGGCATCTCCCTCCCAGGGTTTTGGTCTCCTGCATGTTGAACCTCTGTGCCCTCCGCTTCTTCATGAACAGAAAGGAAGAGCTCTCATATAGTCCCAAAGCCAGCAAACAAACACAGGCTCGAGCCCACCCATGTGCCTTCTTTCCAGGGAAGCTCACATTTCTGACTTCATACTTTTTCCATGAAAAGATCTCTGTAGATCTTTCAAGTAGAGACCCAGGGACTAGAGTCCCAGGGACTAGTGATGCATGTCCAATAGAAAGTGTCCATTGACACTTTCTCCTGGTCACATACGGCACAAGTGCAAACATAGTCCTCAGCCTTCCCGGCTTGTGTGTAACTATCAAAAGACAGAATTCATGCCTCTGGCTGTCCACTCCTCCCATTTATACTTGCTAAGACTTTACCCTCACACTTTCAGAAAACCGTGAGGGTCAGCAGCCCGGGAGGCTAACAAAGTTGGGGAGTTTTGTGAATGCTGTCTCACCTTTATCACTGGAGCCCAAAAACTATTATCCAAACCATATCACAACAACCAATTTATGACTATTAAAGCATTCACATTTAATTCTATACAGTTACCCGAAGCTTTTCAAAACAGTTAATCACTTACCATTGATCTTTTACACTCAAAAAACGAATACTGCAGGGCTCTGCAGTGCCCTTCCTTCAAACACTGCCGTGGAGACTTCCCTTCCTGTGACACAGAGACCAACGTCAACGCCTGTGAAATTTGTCCCACAACGCACAAGACAACTATTCTTCCCGAAGAAGCTCTTTTTAGAAAAGTTAATTTAAGCAAGTTCGTAATTCCTTTTTTAATATTCTTGGTGAAGAAAAACAAATGTAAAGATTATTAAATAACTGAGTACTCAGAGTTAGTTTTTAAATTTTATTTTATCTGTATGAGTGTTTACCTGTATGTACAAATGGGCACCACGTGCAGACCTGGTACCATGGAGGAGAGAAGAGAGTACCAGAGCCCCTGGAACTGGAGTTATAGATGATTATGCACCACCATATGGGTGCCAGGAACCAAACCCAGGTCCTCTGTAAGAGCAACAAGTGCTCTTAACCACTGAGTCATCTGTCTTTCCGGCCCCCAGAGTCTGAGATTTTTAGAACACATCATTAATGTTCATATAAGCCTTTCTGCAGATGACAACTACAAATTGATGCCTAAAAATGAGACCCTTTTAGGGTTGGTACTAAACACTGTACAAACGTTAGTGAGGGGCTGGAGAATAGCTAAGTGAATGACGTGCTTGCTGTGTATGAGGTTCTTCAGCTCAACACCCACAGAAAAAGCTGGGCGTGGTGGCAGGAGCCTATAATCCCATAGCTGCATAGTGGAGACAGAACAGATCTGGTAGCCTAGCCAGTCAGGTTCAGCGACACACCTTATCTCAAATAATCAGGTGAAGGGGTTAGAGCGATGAGTCTGGGCAAGAGGGCTATGCTCTCCTGAGGTGAAGATCAGTAAGTGTTCTGTTGATGGAGCCACACGGAAAACCTCCGCAAGTCTCCTCTGGCAGTTCCAACTTTTCTGGCCTCCCAGAAATCATAAAACCTTAAGAAGTCTATCTCAAAGTTGGTTCTGAACCCTCTCCCACCCCCACCCTCTTCTCACTAGCCCCCACTGGAACTTACATTCTTATCCCCTGAGTTCATACTTACTACCCCGAGTTTCCCGAGCCCCTCTAGTTTCTCGACTGTCTCCCATGGCAGCACAAAAAATACAGGCTTATGCTGAATTCCTCCCAGAATGCAATACTGTACGTTTTTTAAGACTGGCTAAAGATCGGCAAGGAGAAACTACGGCACGTCATAGATCACATTGACTTCCATACTCTAGAAGCCACGGAATCAAAAATCTCCACCACAGATCAAGTAGCCATACAGTGCAGGAACAGGCCTGCTTCCCGTGGAGTGGGAATCTCTGGTGGCGAGTGTCCAAATTTGAGTGCCAGCACTCGGGAACCACTTGAACTGAGATGGCTGCATGTTTACAAAAACCTGAGATGGGGAGGTGCGTCAGTTGATCTCCCATTAAACACCAGCGAGAACTGGGGCCGAGAGCTCAAGAGATCTGGCCGAAGTCTAATCCATCCGCGGCTAAGGCTGCCACCTCCACGTGGCCCCGACCCGACCGCCCCCGCAGGCCGACAGGCAGCCCGCCGTCGCCGAGCTCTTTCCCCGGACGCGCTACCTGGAGCACACAGGCCGACTGCAGCAGACACGCGCCCAGGTCCTCCTTCACGCCGGCGCACGCACCGCCCTCCACCTTGTCCTCGTAATACCGGGGCATGGCTGCGCCCGCCGCCTTCACAACGCCGGAGCACCGTCTTCAGCCACCGGCGGCCGCCCGGACGGGCGCGAGCCACGCCCACGAACAGGGTCGGGAGGGTCAGAGACGTACGCAACCACTTCCGGCGGGTCCGCCATAAAAGCAGCGCGTCTTGAGCGTGTGCGCATGCGCGGCGGAAGCGTGTGACCGTGACGTCAATACAGGGCGCCGCAAGTGCGGGCTACGTAGCGGTAGGGGAAGTAGCCCCGGCGGTGGCTGGGCTCGGCTGCCGGGCGAAGGTGGCGGTAGTCTTGGGCCCAGGGCTCGGCGGCACGGGCCTTCAGGTGAGGCCTGCTCTGTGTGAGCGGGGTGTCATTCGTCCTGACGCCCGTTTCCACGGGCAGCGGCGTCTCGGCGGCCGGCAGTTGGAGCCTTCCCCTGGCAGTGAGTAACACCAAAGACACCCCTTGACGTTGGAATCGCAGAAATAGAGCCTTTTTTTATTCTAAGCTGGTCTGGAGTTTTGCATAGGAGACACGTACCCTGAAACCTTTACATTGCTTGTTCTTAACTCGAATGTCACAGGGAGGTCTGTATTTTAATTTGACTGCGGACCTGCAGGCTTGGGGTAATGGAGAGCTGCTGGCGGGGCGGGGCACCGAGGTGTGCTGGCACCTGTGGCGGCAGAGGCTGGGCCGAGGGTGGGGCGGTGACCAGCGTCATTTAGCTTCGGACTAGTTGGACTGGACCCTCCATGCTGTTATTCATCCTACCCAGCTATTGTGGGAGTAAAAGCACCAAAGGTTGGAATTTGCTTTTTTTTTAATGTCTCATTCTGAATAACCAGAAGCTTGCTGACTGCCGCTGGTGAACTTGTACGAATAAGCTGTTGTTTTACCTCTTCAATAACATTGCTTTCGGCTTAAACGAAGTTTGTTGTTGCTGCTGTTTTATCTTAAATTCTGGCCAATAAGAACATGGAATTTTGAGTAAGAGTTCCAGTCTTTGTCCTGTCTCCATAAGGAGGTCATTTCACATCCCTGTGCTGCTTTTTCCTCGTCCTCCACTTTCCACAATTAGCTAATACAGCTGTCAAGGCTTGATTGAGGTGAAGGGTGAAAACCCACGGACTCTAGATAAATGGTTTCAGGTGATGGAGAAGAGCGTGTTGATGTAAGTGCAGTTAACGCTTGCCAGCCCCTAGAGAAGCCCCCGAGCCAATTCCATGGCTTCTGGCCCCTAATCCTTCCTGAAGGAGAAAAATGCCACAACTCTGGAGAGGAGTGCTAGCAGACAGACGGTTCTTAAGGTTGCATCTAAGAGACATGTTCTTATTCCATCCAGGAAGATGCTGCCAAGTACTTCAGTGAGTTCTTCGATGCAGGGGAATGGAGTCTTGAATTCCAGGGATGCAGCGAGACACACGGCTGGAGCCAAGCGCTACAAGTACCTCAGAAGGCTTTTCCGATTTCGCCAGATGGACTTTGAGTTTGCCGCATGGCAAATGCTCTACCTGTTCACGTCTCCACAGAGAGTTTATAGGAACTTTCATTATCGGAAGCAAACAAAGGATCAGTGGGCCAGAGATGACCCTGCTTTCTTGGTCCTCTTAAGTGTCTGGCTCTGTGGTAAGTATGTGTTAGTTTCCAAGCAGTGGAGTTGAGAAACAAATGGGTATTTTATGTGGAGTATATTTTTTCATAATGTATTGTGGGTTAGAATTTGGGGGCATTTGAAGCTCCCCCCCACCCACCGAAACATTAAAAAGCTGGCTGGAAAGAAAGTAATGTTCTTCCTGATGAGGCTGTGACACACACAGGCCAGAGTTAACTACTGTGTTGGGACACTGAAAAGTGGGGCAGAGGATTACATATCATTGCTGTTTATTTCTTCTTGAGACAGGGTCTAGATGCAAAGGCCAGGCTGGCATTGAACTCGGGATCCTCTTAACTGAGCCTCAAGTGCTGGCATTACAGGACTATGCTACCACCACACTCACTGACTTTAAAAACACAAACAAACAAAAACTACTGTGAGCCTGTACCAAACTGTGTGCAAAGGAGTGTTGGGATGGGAAATTATGTTTCACGATGGGCCCAGTCTGTGAGGCTGGGAGATTGTAGTGGTTTTTATTTCTGGTAGGGGGAGAAGACGGTGTTGGTAGGACTAGGGATAGAAACCAGGGACTTAAACATACCAGGCAAGTGATCTCCACAGAGCTACACCCCAGCATTCTGGGTCAGGGTACTGTACTGATTTGAACTTAAAACCACCTTCAAGTTCTCCTGTACATCAAGTCAGCTCTAGTGTACTGAAGTATGTAGGTGCTTTTTACATTTAACTGGGTTTTAAAATAAGTTGTGTGCCTCCTGAACAGGCTTTGTTCTGAATACCCGATGTGTCATGTTAAACTAGCCCGTTAATCCAGTTCCTTACCTGCACTCAAAGGTGGCATTTATTCCTCTATGAGTTGCATATAATAAATCGTGAGGGTTTTATTTCATTGTTCATATACCACCCCCACATTTTGGGCATATGGATGCCAGGGACTATTTCTTGTACCCTAGAGCCTAGCAGTTACTCTTGTAACTTTTATTTCAGTGTCCACCATAGGATTTGGCTTTGTGCTGGACATGGGATTTTTTGAGACAATAAAGCTGCTCCTGTGGGTTGTATTCATAGATTGTGTAGGTGTTGGCCTTCTGATATCAACTTTGATGTGGTAAGTACCATAACTTGATTTTGCTATACACTGTTGGGCCTCTGCTTGTTTACTTCAGACTTGCAGTAGCTAATGCAAATTAAGTTCAAATAGAGTAGCTGAAGTGGCCAGATTGACTGCCAAGGTTATTGTAACCTGGTCTCCTGTGTCTGTGCTAGACCAGGAAATATTTGAATGGATGCTTATTGTCACTGTAGCAAATCCCAGAATGGCTGCATACTGTTCCATCCTGATTTTTCAAGATAGTATTTATGATTCTGCTGTGTCTGGTTAGCTGTGGTCTGCATTGGTCAGTGGAGATCACTTCCAGCCATATCTGGAGGGTTATCCTTGGACTTTTCCTTTGATCTTTGACATTAAGTCATTTGTGTTTGAAATGGTTTTGTTGCAACAGCAGTTTGGTGTTCAGCTTCTCACTTCTCTCACAGAGAATGCTCCTGTGTGTTTGGCTTCCTGGGCAGCAGGTAGTGGGTGGAAGAAGTGGACAAGATGGAGGGGAAGATTGAGGAGGAAGCAGAGAAAACTTGGAGGGCCGTTTCACTCTCAGACTGAGGTCCACCTGCTGTCAGTCGTTTTAGTGTCCTTTATAAATGGGAGTTGATTGTTTCACTAGATGGTGTTAGGGGTGTGGGGTGATAGACCCTTGGAACCTAGATTTGTTTAGTATATGGTAGCTATTACTATTTTAAAGAAAATGCCAAGGCTGTAACTGGAGAGCAACCTTTTATTTTCCTTTGTAGCTATTGGTTTTATGGGTACTGGATAGTTAATACTATTGTGTATCATTAGTCTTAATTTCTAAACCCTGGCCCAAGATTAATACTGCTTCTATAAATCAGGTACTCATTGTCAAGCAACTTATGGGGCAAATATATAAAGCTTCTAAGAACAGCTGGGCGATGGTGGCACACGCCTTTAATCCCAGCACTCGGGAGGCAGAGGCAGGCGGATCTCTGTGAGTTCGAGACCAGCCTGGTCTACAGAGCTAGTTCCAGGACAGACTCCAAAGCCACAGAGAAACCCTGTCTCAAAAAACCAAAAAAAAAAAAACCAAAAAAAAAAAAAAAAAAAGCTTCTAAGAACAGTTTATTACAAGTGTTCTACTATGAGTGCAGTGATTCTGGATGGCCACAAACACCAAGGCAGCCTGCAGGTGATTACCTTTGGTTCGTGTCTCCCATAGTTTGATCAGGTAGAAAAGGACTCACTGTGCTGTTTGTGAGAACACAGGTATCATAAACTGTGAGGAGCTGGAAGTAGAAACAATAACACACCCCACCTCCCCCCACAAAAGAAAAAAAACCATCGCAGAAGTGCCATAGGAACCAACATAAGGCCATGTTTTAGGGGAGCTATGAGACAGTTGATTCCTGGTTCCAGGATGTGCAAGTACCCAGCCATAGTTACCATAGTTATGTGCAGCATTGTGGTAGGTCTGGGGACAGGTGATACTAAATGGCTATGAAGAAATGAGACTTAGAAAATAGTTTTTATGAAACTCAGAAAAAAAATAGGCTTTTGTGTTCACATCTGCAAGTGTGGGTTGGAGGGTAGAAGAGAAATGGAGAGCTAGGAGGCTAAGAATGAAGAAAATCCGTTCACACTGTCGAAAATGTCTTCAGCATGGCAGGGAAGGAGTAGAGAAGTAGGGACACCGGGTACAATCACAGGGGCTCACGGGAGAAGGGGATGCCCAGAACAGTGTGGTGGTAGGATGAAAAGAGAAGAATTTAGAGCTTCCTGTGGTAACAGGATGTGGTGGCTAGGGAGTCAGGGCTTGGGACTGTGTGTTGAATGCTGGTGAAGTGTTCTGTTGGCCATGCTGGGTCAGGGAGCTGCTGGGTTGTGTCCTGGAGAAGGTGGTGGTGACACAAGGCAGATGGAACTTACAGATGGCAGTCAGGCCTGACATGTGGCCGTCTTGGAGGTGGGAGAGAGAGCAGCCAGTTAGTTGCCTTAGAATTCTCTAGAAAGGAGTGTCTGTCCTGTTTAAGGGGTGCGTGGAGGTGCAGCAGGAGAGTAGTGATTACACAAAAGAACCGAGGAATGAACTGCATGCCGACTACCTCAAGTTCCTTTATCATTCATAATTATTTTTAAATTTTAGAATTTATGAAGTTCCGTGTGATAACAATGTGTATGTATGTATGTCTATATATATAATGAGTAATGATCAAATCAAAGTAAGAGTTTCCATCCCATTTACAGTTTATTGGTGTTGGGAACCTTTAAGTCTTCTCTTATAAAACGTCTAGCCCCACTGCTATGAGCTTCAGAACTCCTTGCTTATATTTTGACAGCATCACCCCTACTTTCTTAGCATCTGGTATCCGAGATTCCATTTCCTGTTACTCTGAGGTCAAGTGGTGTCTTGTTTTTTTTCGTTTTTAAATCTTTTCTTTCCGGGCTTGTTTCACGGATTTTGTAAAATTGAACGGCACATATTCTTGGCTAAAACAGTATTTGGTAAGTTACAGTTTGTACAAGTGAAGCACTATATTTTTTTGGCTTTTTGATAAAACTAAGTATAGACTGTTTATCACATTCTGCCATACTTTCTTCAGTGTGTTTGTCTGGTTGTGCTGTATAAGTTAGGGTCTTACACCATAGGCTAGCCCAGAACTTACCATGTATCCCAAGCTGGCTTTACACTAAAAATTGTCCTGCTTTCATCTCCTGTGTGCTGGAACAACCCAACCCTGTTGTCTGTATTCAATATTAAGACATTGAATTGAATTAAAATACAGTGACGTAGACTCAGCAGTTAAAGGCGCTTGCGCAGTTTAATCCCCAGGATTCATGTTAAGAACTAATTCCAGAAAGTTGTTCTGGGACTTCATGCTACTATGGCACCTCCTCCCCCCACTCATAAAATGTTGTGTAACATTTTATTCTTTTGGCTTTTGGTGGGGGCTGCCATGCAGCTCCCAAGTAAATCACATACAGAGGCTTATTCTTAGTTAAGAATGCCCGGTCTTAGCTTCTCTCATTGCTAGCCAGCTTTTCTTAACTTACTAACCTGTCTACCTTTTGCCTCTGGGCTTTTATCTCTCTCTTTCTTTACTTCTTTTTCAGTGGCTTGCTGTGTACCTGGGTGGCTGGCCCCTGATGTCCTCCTCTCCTTGTTCTTTTGCACCTTCTTCTCCTTTTATACTCTCTGCCGGCTAGTCCCGCCTATCCTTGCTTTTGCCTCGCCATTGGCCGTTCATCTCTTTATTAGAACCTTCAGGTGTTTTAGACAGGCAAAGAATCACAGCTTCACAGTTAATCAAATCCAGCATAAACAAAACACACCTGACAATATTCCCCAACAATAAATGTACATTATAATTAAAAACTCATATTCACAACCCATTAATGTAAAAAAGGACATGTTCACAGATGTTTATAGAATAGTCCTTTTCATTGAAGATCTGAACACGATAGTTTTTTTGGTAGGCCAATTTGTAGAGCAGCTATAGAAGCATGCATCCGTACTGTTCTCTGGATGTACCGCTAGTCAGCCCCTTTCCCGTCTCCTCCTGTTTCCTTCACTTTTAATGGTAAAGGCAGATGATGTGAGTCTTGGCCCTGGGTTTTTTGTTGAGTGGTTGTCTTGGATGTCATGATTCTGGTGATGTCATTTAGGCCCATGGCTTTCGGTATCTTCTACACTGAACTGGCGTTAAGTACATCTTAGCTCGTGTTGTAATTAAGCACGCATGGTAGAGGTAATCACAAACCTTGCCTTCCCTTCATTCTTAGAACTGCTTTGGCACCACCAACCGTCCTTGGCTGATAGTGCTGCTGTCTTCCTACTTGCTCAGGGCAAGACTGTTGTGACTTTCAGGCACACCTCATCGCCTTCACTGTTAGGTAACTCAAGTGACAGGCTATTGTCCTCTCATCTGTGGAGTCTACTCTCAATTGGCCACCAAGGAGACCCTATCAAAACATTTCTGACATGTCTTGTATCTTGGCCCTGGCTTCTACCATGAGTAAAAGATTGAAAAGTCACAAAGTAGCCACAGGCTCCTGAAGAGCTGACTGCGTTTCCTCGACTAGCTACCTGCTCCAGTCCTTCCTTCTTACAGGCACACACAAATCTTCTGCTGTGCCTGCACCATCAGAGCCTTGCTCCCTTGCCTATCACACCCCAGCTTTGCACCTCTGCCATCCTCCATAGTACCACGTCAGGCTTCTCCCACTAGAGAGCGACATTGGCCTGTCTCATTGCTCCATCTCTAGAACTGGTAACGTGGGACTCAGAAGTTGGTTGGTACTGAGAACTAGTACATTGTGTAAGAAGTTCTCATTTTGCTCTTCAGGTTCATCTCCAACAAGTATCTAGTGAAGCGGCAGAGCAGAGACTATGATGTGGAGTGGGGCTATGCCTTTGATGTGCATCTGAATGCATTTTATCCACTCCTAGTCATTTTGCATTTTATCCAGCTCTTTTTCATCAACCGTGAGTATCTGTTTCTCAAATGTTCTCAATGTTCTCACTGTGTGAAGAGACTCACTATATGCATTTTTTTCTGGCAGATGTTATCCTCACAGATACATTTATTGGATACTTAGTTGGAAATACTTTATGGTTGATTGCTGTTGGCTATTATATCTATGTGACCTTCCTGGGATACAGTGGTAAGTTTTGGTGGTTTAAGAATGTAACAGGAAAGAGCATAGACGTTAGCAGTGGATTTACAGGGACCTGTCAGACTGCATATGACCTTCATAATTTCACAAGTATACTCACCTTAGAGCCTGCCCACTCTCCACAAGCAGAGTGGCATGTAACATTTGTTACAACTTTCAACTCATTTCCAAGTTACAGGTGGAAGTCCCTGACCATTTTCTTTCCTGGTGTGGATTCAGGCTCCATGTTATTAACCATGGGCTCATGGTTACAAACCTTCAGTTCTGTGGATGATCCTGGGATCTGCTGATTCCAGACCATATTTGCAAACTTACTGCTAAATCTTCTCCATTACTTTTCCTAATGTTGAATGAAGAATACTTTTAGTCTGGGAATGAGTGTAGCTCAATAGAAAACCTGCCTACTATGTCAAGGTCCTGTGTTCAACCCCTAACTCCCCATTGCTAAAGTCTAGAAATCTTACGATTGAGCTCAGAACCACCCACAGTGTGGTTTCTCTTTGCTCTTTGGATGACTGGTACCTTAGTATAAACGGCTTTGTTCCTCACCCGATTACCAGTTTCCCAGGGATCACTTAATCTTCCACTTGCCTTGTTTGGGGTATTAGGGTTTTTCTAGTGAATTTTCCCATTATCTTGAAAGTATTTGTAATCCATGGCACTGAAGCACTGGTCCCTTAGTGCCTTCTTACAGCTGTTGAGTATACAGTGTCCAAGAACTGCCTGGGTCAGTGTACGTGGGGAACTGAGTTCAGTTCCCAGCAACCACAAAGTGGCTCGTAACCGTTTGAGATTTGGTGCCCGTGTGCATGCATGCAGGCAGAGTACTAATAGGGAGGTAGATAGAGAAATCTTAAATCTTCAGTGTTTACAGTAGAATGCCTTTGTTCTTCCCCGGAGGGTGAATCATTGATTCTACCTTAATCTGAGGTGTGTTGCTTTTGCAGTGGAAACACTCCAATGCCTAAAAGTGGTTTTGTTCCATGTGCTATCTGTGTATGAAAATGACATAGTGAGATCCATTACTTTGCATGCTAACTTAGACTCCTAAGGCATCTGTCTAGATCAGCAGTTCTCATGGGTTATGACCCCCATCAGATATCCTCCATATCAGATATTTATGATTTATAACAGCAAAATTAGTTAATAAAGTAGCAATGAAATAATTATTAAAGGGCTGCGGCATTAGGAAGGCCCCTCTGCTCAGATGTGTCTGTAGTTCTGCAAGCAGAATCGTGGTCCTATGCAGTGTGCTCCTTCTTTGGCCCCGGGGGTTGAAGAGCTTTTCTTTGTGCATGTTCATCGGCCACTCCTATCCTGTTTCTTTTCCAGCGCTGCCGTTTTTGAAAAAGACAGTGATCCTGCTCTATCCATTCGCACCTCTAGTTGTGCTGTACGGACTGTCGCTGGCACTGGGGTGGAACTTTACCCACATGCTGTGTTCCTTCTACAAGTACAGAGTGAAATGAAAGGTGACAACAGCACTGTAGCTGAACTGTCTGGTGTTGGAGAAGGGATCTCTTCTTGTAAAGTCTGTAAATTATCTTTGTAGATATCTTAAAGATGTAAAGTTTACAAATTTGGAGTGATACTAACACTATTGTCCAGACCATTCCTGAAAACTAATTAAATGTACATTTCTAATATTTTAAAACTAATTGTTTAATTATTTAACCCTAAGCTATATATAAAATATCAAGGGCATAAGTAAGGGATAGATGTCACACACTATCTTGTTGCTGGCAAGATGTACGACTTACTCTGCCTGCAGTGTGGCTCACACAGGAGCCCCTGTCATTTGAGAACTGTGTATATAAGCAGTGAGTACCTGTATAGATGACAGCCACTGTCTTACCAGGATGGCATGTTTCCCTTTTAAAGATTCCAGAGGAACCAGCAACTAGTTGAAAAACAGGTAAACACCATAGTAATAGCACTAAAAAAATTCTATCGGTTCATTTGGTTTGAGCCATTTTTATTAGAAGGAATCTTGCTTCAACATGGCTTTTCAAACTTCTTTATTTCAAATACACATGGACAGTTATAGCACAGAGACAGTTATGGAAGGCACAGTCAACAGGACATTGGGTTTCAATTATAGCAGCGAACTTGAAAATAAATAATCTGCCTTTAAAAATCCAACAGGTACCTCAAATATTACTGCATCTATTAACTGTTCAACCCATGAAGACACTGAGCAAAAGTATGTACAATACATTTAAGGAGGAGAAGGGGGAAAAAAAACCTGGTAGAGCCAAGCAGAGAGATTCCCTGGGCTGCTCTGAGAAACATCCCCCAATGCAAAGACAGCTTTTCTGGAAGAGGTGCTCCAGGTGAGCAGTTTTCCCTCCACCTGGGGAAACATGACTGAGACCTCTACACTGGGAAGACTCTGCTGGCAGCACTCCGGACAGTACTCTCCCAGCAGCCCTTTGTATGGCTCAGGCATTGCATGTTCAGGAAGTTTTCACCAAGCTAGAGCAAACACAGCAGAATGCTAAGCAAGCTAAAGGAACCCCATGCTTTCATTCTGGGACCAAGAGCTAATTACCAGTTCAGCTGCACTAGGAGCAGCTGTCTCCACAACGAACAAGCTTGTTCAGAGCAGTTGACCCGGCTGTACATATTCTACCATGCTTCCCCCTCCCTCGAACTCAGGTTACTGATACTCTACACTCAGGGTCACATGCTGTTTGTTCTTGCAGGAGCCCTTTAGGTAGTGCAAAAACTGGGAAAGGGAGCATTTCAGAAACAAGACTCCATTTAGCTAGTGATGGTACAGGGGTATGGGTACCAAAATCCTTGGTTTTTGTTTGTCTTTTTAAAAGACTGCTCATCTTTTTAGCATTGAATGTTCACATGCATTAAATTGAGCATATTTAGCATAGCATATATCTGTTAAGATTAATCATTTAAATCCTCATAACTATCAAAGTTTAGATTTTACAAGCTATACATGTTGCTACATAGCTTGAGAATGCCCTTTTCTACAAAAGGACGGAGCTAAGACTTAAGATCCCTTACCATATGAAGATGATGACAGCACAGGGCTGTGAGACCTGACAGTGCTTTAACCTCTAAACTCCTTTCCTTCAGTTCTGTTGGTTTCCTCCAAGGCTATAGCAGTATGGTAAAATAAATAAAAAGCACAAGTGAGTGCACCAAAATAAAAATACACTTCGTTAGCAATTAATGCCTTGGAATCAGAGGGATTTTGGAAAGCATCTAAATAGAAAACCTTGGTACATACAGGACTTGTGCTGTGCTAGCTATTGAACTAAATGGCTTTAAAGAATTACACTTATAGCCTAAGCGCTAGCAGGTATGTTCAGCCTGTGGCCCAGATCTCAATGAATGGCACAGTACAGAACTGTAAACTTAAAGCTGTTTAACATTTTTTGTTTGTGTAACTGAACTGTGTGGCTCTCGAGTGTGTCCTCTGGAGATGACAGTGCCATGCTGCAGTGTCAGAAGGGCGGACATGCCTGTGAGTCAACAGTAAGGCAGGATGTTTTCCTCTCTTCCATCTGATGCAAAATATCGCGGTTCATCATTCTTTCAAGTACATCGCAGGCCCTTAAATCGGTGTAATCTAGCCTCATCGACCCCACACCTACAGTCTAATCCTAGCAGCTGTTTTACAGAACACAGATACCAAACTCTACCTTGTGGTGGAGATGGCGGTCTTTGGCACGGAACATTCTAGCTGAGACCCAGGAATGAGTTTATTCTGGATGTCGATCAAAACAAAAATGTCAACAAGCTGGGCATGGTGACTCACATCAGCACTGGCGAGGCAGCACTGGGAGGAGAGAAGTTCAAGATCACCCTGGGGTGCAAGGTGAGACCCTGTCCTTAAATAAAAAGAATTCAGGCAGTGGTGGTGCACACCTTTAAACTCGGGAAGCAGAGGCAGGAGGATCTCTTGAGTTCAAGGCCAGCCTGGTCTACAAGAGCTAGTTGCAGGACAGGCTCCAAAACTATAAGAGAAACCCTGGTCTCGAAAAAAATAGAAATAAATAAATAAAAAGTAACCTGCAAGCAATCAAATATGAAGGTGTCTCAGAACTGTCTTTTTCTGTCGCTTGTTACACACCCCACATCTGCCCACTTACAGCACCACCCATGTACTACCTCACCGCTCCGCAGCTCAGAAGTCTGCCGTACCCGAGCTGTCTGTGTAGCGCCCCCCTTGCAAAGCTGCGGTGAAGGCGCTTTCCAGGCTGGCCTCCCGCCTGACGACGTCCATCTTCCAAGCCTAGGTGCATGTGGGGGTGACGCTGTCTTGGGGCACAAGGACTGCAGCTCCAGCTTCCTCAGCTGGTCATTGAGGCAGCGATGGTGTTTCAGAGTTCTGTTGCTGCTTTTGTCTCTCCTTTCTACCAGCCTGACATGGCTCACAAGATTGCACTGGTCACCCACAGATAGTCTCCCTCCAGGTAAGTAACGAGACATGACCCTGGATCATGGTCACAGTTCTCACCACATTGAGAAGGAGGATGTCACAGGAGGGTGCATTCTTAGAATCCTGCATACCACAGATACACACTATTAACTGGGATAACCTGAACACACTCCTTCCACACAGCCAAGCTTTTCACTGAGGGCAGTACTGTTGAGAACTTTGTCATTCTGAAAGACTAAAGCAGAACTCCAGTCTGCTGCTTTCCTGACAGCTTTTTGAAACAAGCACACCTGATCTTTTACATGAAACCAACGATTTCAAAAACCACAGAGAACCTTTCTTCAAACACACCCTACTGGATGCACACACATGTACACATCTAGCCTACCCATCCTGCATTCACTCTTTCTCACACTTTTTAACCAAACATACCACTTGAGGGCACTGATACAATGCATGCTGGGAAGAATGCTGACAGTCGCAGACAGCCAGGCCATCTTGGCCTTCTCACCAAAATACACACCTTTACCTGCACTATGATGAACCCACAGGTCTGCTGTCAATCACAGCAGCAGGATGTGCTTCTTTCTAGAATGTTTGTATTTACACTTGACACTCCTACAGTGATGACAATGTCCCATATGTTTCAGATCCAATATGGAGGCTGCTAGTCACATGTGCCCACCAAGCTTGTGGGCACAGAACTCGACTTTCCATCTTAACAGCTGCCGTGTGCTCTGGCTTCTGTAGAGGCCAGGGCTACTCTAGAATCTAGCTTACATGAACTACACACCAGATGCCAACCACGGCCTATTCTGTAGATATGATTCATATTGCATTTGGCACTTTTTCCATTCACTGTTCAGGGGAAACTGGGTTGATGGCCTCTGAGGTGTAATGTGTACACCTTGCAGTTCTAGGCACTCTGGCTTCCCTCTCACCAGCTTCCAGGGCTCCCACTAACACTTCTCGCTTGGGGAAAGCACATCAGCTTCGATTGTCTAGGGCTGGCTGTCCTGGGAAGAAAGGAGGGTCCAGGAAGCACCTGCTATGGTGGAAGACGGGAGGAGAGCTGGCCTCCAGAGCATGGAGTGTGCCAGAGAACACACACCACAAACAAAAACTAGACACTGAGGTGTGTGTGTGTGCCCATGCATGGCAAGGATGGCAGGCAAACACAGCTAAGAGAAAAATGATTCACCCAGATGCCAATAGAGCCTGCCAAGGCGCATGTTCTAGGCACTGGGAACAAGCTCGCAGGGAAAAAGGAGAGAGTCCCTGGATGAAGGAAAAGACTTGGCTGTTGGTCCCTAGGTAACAGGAGCCATGAGGGGCTTGAACGAGAGGGTGTGCACAAAGACCCCTGCAGCGGCCATTCAAATGGTGGCAGGTGTTGTGTTTGTCTCCTACTAGATTATCAAAGTACAGCCTCCCTTAAAGTCACGACCATTGAGAAACCAGAGCCCTAAGGGGCCCCTGCACCCGTCTGCATGGTCTCACCATCTGTGTGAACATAGTGCTCAAATTTTAAAATGAAAAGGGGCCTCTATTCAAAAGATTTGCTTGTGTCTTAGGAAACAGGCTTAGGAAACCAGAAAAGAAAATAAAAAGTTGAAGGAAATGAGGAAATTTACAAAATCCCAAGAAAAACTTCAGCTGGGCCTTGACATACAGCACAGTAGTACTTACCTACATGTTCCTAGCCAGAACACGGCATGCAAAATAGCTGCTTAGCGCTGTGTGTCCCATACACTAGGCAACTAAGGAAGCTCCAGGCTGGAGGCCACCAGCTAGGACCTCCCAGAGCTCCAGACCTTTACCAGTCGCTGGACATCTGCAACCCCTGAATCGCCGGCGCAGACTGGCAACAGCTGCTTAGCCTTCCTAACTAAAGCACGTCCGCAAACTAGTCTACGTGGGACTGCAAGGGCAGGAGGCATAAGCACTCAGTGGACACAGCGTTTACTTCTAAGTTCATGGTACAGCAGATCCAATCACTCTGTGGAAACACACAAGTGCTACAATGACTTTTCACCAGAGCCCCCCAGTACAGTTCCGGTTTGTAAATTGTACCCATTAGGATTCACATAACAACATCACCTAGAAAACATGATCTGAACTCCAAACCTAACACGGGTATCAAAGGACCAGTGAGGAAAGGGACGATGTGTCAAACTAGTGATTAAAGACAGATTAGAAAGAAGAGTCTCATCACCCACGCCAGGGGAGACCTGAAAGACTCTGTGGAG